CCCCCAGACACATCACCCTGCGCCCCTGAACCCCCCCCTGCGCCCTCACCATGAACGACAGGTTGATGGTTGTCTCCACTATGGCCTCGCCCCTGAAAAAGCCGCCATACTGGGGGTCGTCCCGGAATATCTGCTCAAATATCGACTGCATGTTGAACGGGAAGCCGCCCGCACCGGCGCCGCCCTGCGTGACAGGAAGAAAGGGCGCGCAGCAGAAAGGAGGGGGAAGCCACGTGAGGGGACCATGCGACCGGCGGGGGCGCCTGGCGCGCCTGCAATGCGTGGCACGCCCGGGCCCAACTGCGCCCGTTGCGCCGCCGCTGCTGCTGCTCGCTGCACCCACGGCGCAGCCGCTCCGCAGCACAAGTCTGTTTCCAGCGCCACCCCCCCGGCCCTAGGCCTTGCTCCAGGGCGGCTGACCCCGGCCCGCCCCGCCGCCTACCGGGAAGCCGCCGCCAAAGCCGCCGCCACCAGGGGCGCCACCCTCCGTCTCCATCTGCTCAACCCCTTCCCGGCCCTGTTGGGGTGCACGGGGCGCCAGCGGCCGCGGGCAGCAGAGTCGCGGGGGAGGTCAGTCGCAAGGGGCAACAGACGTGTCGCAACTTTGTGCTTTGAGCACCCAAACGTGGCGCGTGTCCACGGACAAGTTACGACACAGGTTATACCAGCAAGCAAGCGACACCCCCTCAAACCGTCACGACTCGTATCAGCTCTGCGTTGCATATAAACACACGCGTCTGTTCCTCGATACTTGCAAACACGCACCGACAGACCTGTGTGTGTGTGTGTGCACACTTACGCATCCCCAGTCCCTATGCATGCCCTCTTTAGCAAAAGCAACTTACCCCCTGCCCCTACAAAAAGTTGACCCACCAGTGTGTCGTGCAGCCGCCGCTTCTCGGGGTCCCTCAGCGCCTCATACGCCTTGGACACCGCCTGAAACTTCCGGGCCGCCTCCGAGTCATCCTGGAGGACATGAAACGTTGCATCAAGAGGGGGCCCTCGCATGTGTGCGTGCGTGCGTGCGGGGCGGCTGGGTGCTGGCAGGGGCGTCTGTGGTTTGTTGTTGACGCAGGCCGGCTGGCGCCCGGCCGTCGCTGCGGGGCGCGCGCCGCTCGAGGCGCACGGAAATGCTGCGCCGCGAGCCAAGGCACCGAGCTGCGCTAGCGGCAGCCTGCGCTTCGCAACCCCTGTCCCCGCTGCCTCGTGGCTCTCAGCGACGCCACGCCCAGTCCCCGACCGCCGGTCGCTTGCGTCCCCTTGGCCCCCGCCACGCCAACCGCCTCAACCGCCCGAAACCGCCTGGCCCCTGACCCCCTCGCAAAACCTTGCCTTGTTGGTGTCTGGATGGTACTTCTTCGCCAGCTTGTAGTAGGCTTTTTTGATTTCCTGGTCGCTGGCGCTGCGGGGCACACCCAGGACGTCGTAGTAGTCACCGGCGGCGGCTGCGGTGACGCGGCGGGTGACGCGGGGTGCGAACCGTTGTCAGCTGCACAGCCAGGGTGGTTGGTGCCCGGCGGGAGGGCCCGAGCGAGCCGGACTGGCGGCGCGCAATACTCGCAGAGTGCTTTCGAATGCACGTTCAAATTGCATGGCGTTGCAGGCACGTCGGGATGTGTGGGACACAGGCGGCGGCGCCGATGCGCACCTGCAGTGGTGTGGAACCCCCGCGTGCCGCCGATGCTGCCACTGCCGAAGCTGCTGCTCCCTGCGCCGCCACTGGTGATGCTGCAAGGGCCTGCCTGCCACGGCTGTTGCTGGATCGCCGCCCGCAAGGGCAACGCTCCGCCGTATGAGCAGAATGCCCCTGCAGCGCAAGCGGTCGTGTGCAGACTCGCAGTGAGTGCAAGACGCCACCAGCGCCGGCCAGCTTGATATGCATACCGCGCACGCCTACAGCATATGTATTGACGTGTAGTATCATGTGCGCCCACTAGCGGCCGTGGAAACCCGCGGGGTGGCCGCTCACCTGGAACGAGCTGCTGCACGCCCTGCTGCACCAGAAGAGCAGAGCTGCCTGCACCGCTTTGCAACTGATGTAGTGCGACGTTCAATCCCCTTACGAATGTCTGTGCGCCCTCGCCTCGGTGCGCGAGCGTCTGCACCAGCCCTTTCATAAGCAACATGGCTGCTGCCAGCCGCCTTTTGGCGGTGAGTGCTCGAATGCAACAATTGATCACTATCACATGCCACACCGCCGCACTAGACGGTGTGCCAGGTCGGTTCTAGAATAATGGCACAAGGGATCAGCAGTCTCGGGAACGGCGCGTCCGTAATTGTAGTCGCACTTAAATCGGTCACTCAAATAAACATATGTTGACTGGTTGTCCTCTGGGGCACTTCTCACTAGTGATCTGGCGGGGTGCTTCGTGCACAACCGCAATGTATGAACAGCGTGTACCACGCCAACGTGATTATTTGCACATGAGTATACCGATGACATATCTATCAAGCGAGCAACCCAATCGGGAGACACCTCGCTGATGTCGTCCTTTGCACTGTCAGCGTGCTGATCGTGTATAAGAAGTCGAGGCCGAGCCAACGAGCCATTTGAACACAGCTCCAGCAAACGTACAGCCGGGGTGCGGGGCGCCGCGAACTCGGCGCATCGCCTAGTCTCTGGCAGGTGCAGCAGAGCACAAGCAGCGGGCTCGCGCCGGCGCCTGCGCAATGACGGCGCTCGCGCCGGTCGTGGCCTTCTGGCGTGAGTTCGATCTCGACAACAAATGGCGGTCCAAGCTGGATGAGGTGCGGCGCGGCCGGCACGATGCCCGGGAGGCGACATCCGTGCAATCGAGCAGCTTCTCGCTTGCCGCGCTTTACCGGCAGCCTGCGCCAGTTTAACTCGGCCCTGCCTCCACAGCGAGGGCCGCTTGACTCCACCGCCTTTACTGTAAGCCGTGCACTGAACATGAATGCAGCCGCCGATGACGACGCGCCCTGCCGCGTCTCCTTGCGCCCATGCGCAAAATGCCGGGCCGCAGGTGGGCCTGAAAATTGCGGAGCACCAGGAGCAGTCGACCTCCAGCCGCCGCCTGCTGGCGGAGGCCACCAAAGACTGGAAGCGCACGTCCGGCGAGGCGGGTGCGGGCGCGGCCGCTGCTGGGGACTGGCGGGCTGGGCCGGGGCTTGGGCTGGGTCGAGGGGGCCGGGAGGGGGTCGGGGCACAACACTGCCAGCCGCGTTGTCAAATGAATGCAGCGCCGGCAGGGCGTCATCTTCAACCAAAATGCAGCCGTGCAACACACGAGCGGCAGATGCAGGGATCGCTGCATGCGGCTGCCAATGAAATCGCCCACGCGGGCCAACGCTGCGCCGCCCTGCCTGCCTGGACCCAGGCAAGGCGTCTGGCCCCATGGTGAAGCGATACCAGGAAGAGGTGGACTCCCTAACCAAGCGCGCGCGGCACGCTGAGTCAGCATTTTTGGAGCTGTACCAGGAGCTGTATGAGGTGGGTCGGCTCGCACGTGGCCGTGGCGCTCTGCTGTGATTTGGGTGCTGAGGGTGTTGGCAATGCGGTGGCGGGGCGCCAGCATGCACACCACCAAGCTTATCTGTCTGTACGCAGCCCCACCAACCGTCTCAGCAACCTCCATGACGCAGGCCCCCGACCCGGCGGCGGCGCTGTCGGCGGCGCTGGAGGCGCAGGCGCATAGCGCGCAGCTGGAGGCCCAGGTGGGGCGTGGAGGTCGCTGCGTAGCCGCAGGGTGTTTTTTGGGGGGCAGGGACAGGCGGGGACGCCTGGCAGGCTTTTTCCGCCACCCCTTTGGTGTCTGAGCCCAGCGGCCGGGCCCCTTGCAGCATCGTTTACGGGTTGGGTTATCAAAGTCAGCCGCACACATGAAACATACGAAACACTTGCGCACACGCATCATCGCCCATGCAGGCGCAGCACATGGGCGTGCTCTCATCATCACGTCCCTGCCTCTCCTTGCCTCAAATACTCACCTCTGAATCCACTAAACATATGAAGACCCATTCACCTGTGCCCGTTCAAACACATGTGCACGGGCGCACACGCGCACACCCACCCACACACTTATACACACACACTCTCTCTCTCTCATGCACGCACACTCACTCACCAGCGCCACCTAAACCCAACCCCGCCCTCAGGTGCGCAAGCTGTCGAGTGAGCTGGCGGAGTACAAGGCGGAGAGCAAGGCCATCAGGAACCAGGACCTCACAATCCGCAAGCTGGTGGGACACACTGCGGGGTTTGGGGGGTGGCCCCGCGACGGCGACGCCGCGGAAAGCACCTCGCTGGGCCGCCAGGGGCGGCGCGGGCGGCCCCTGGCGTCGTTGAGCGTTGCGCTGCGTATTGTGGGCTGCTTGCGCCGCCATCGCTTGCCGGTTGAGAGCATGATGTTTGGGCCTGCTAAAGGTGCGTTGGTGACGGCGGAGCCTACTGCATGTCACTGATGATGCTGTGTGCAGGAGGAGGCGGCAAGGGAGCTGCAGGCGGCGCTGGATGCGAAGGAGGAGGAGCTGCAGGCAGCTAAGAGGGAGGCGGCGGCAGAGGCGGACGCCGCGGTGGTGTCGCGCATGCAGGTCGGCGGAGGGGTTTCTGTTTCGCCCTCCTTCAAGTGTCTGTGCAAGGGGCTTGTCGGCGACTTGGCGCCCGGATGGTGCAGGCTGCAGCCGTGATGCAGGCATTTGCCTTTTGAATTGCTTCGTGGCGCGTTGACACGTCATGCCACTGTTTTGCACAATGGAACGGTCACGTTGCGAATCGAGCGGCGCCATCATGCACCCCTTCATCAACCGCCGCCCCTCAACTGCCATGCGATGGCGCAGGAGCGCGAGTCTGAGCTGGCAGAGATGCTCGCGAGCGCCCAGGCCAGCCTGGAAGCCATGCAGAAGCTGCACACCGCGGCCCAGAACCAGCTGTTTGAGCTGCAGACGCGCAGCGAGGAGGCGGAGGTCGGGAAGCAGGTGGGCAGCTGCTGGGAAGCTGCAGGTGGCCGGGGTGCCTTCTATGCGGCACACATCCTCTCAACTGCTGTGCACCTTACAAGAGCTAGGCAGGCCACGAATGCAAGGCAACGCCTGCAGCACAGGAAGCGCAAACAATGCGCGTTGTGCAAACGATAACCACTTTGTGAACACGTGTGGATACGAGCGGCATGCAGTGTCATGATTCCCACAGCAACCCCTTCCCACACACCCGGCGAGCCTTGCCCTTACTGCTCCTACTGCCTTGCCCTCTTGCACGTTGCAACAGGTGCAGTGGGAGCAGGCCGCGGAGGAGGTGGAGCGGGTGCAGGGGCGCATGGCGGCGCTCGAGGCGGAGAAGCGGCTGCTGCAGCAGAGACTGACGGAACACACGACTGAGCAGGTACGCGGGCGCGCGAGAGCGCTTGCGCTTGCGCATGTGTGTGTGTGTGTGTGTGTGTGTGTGTGTGTGTGTGCGTGCGTGCGTGCGCGTGGATATGCAATTGTGCGTGCGTGCAC